TCCACATGCTGAACAACTTTTTTTTCTGAAACTTCGACGTCGTCGTGTCCGTCTCAGAACAGTGTGGTTCCAACAAGACGGGGCAACATCTCACACAGCTCGCACTTAATGGAACTTCTTCGGCAAAAATTTATTCCCAGGGCGTCGCATTTCTCGTCATGTCGATACTCCATGTCCCCCTCGTTCCACGGACCGGTCAACGTGTGATTTTTTTATCGTCGATTTGAAGGAGGAAATAAGAAGAGAAGTAACCCAAATTCCTGCACAGATGTTGGTCGACGCACATTTCGGGAGAGGCTTGATTCCTGCATTTCGGCTCAAGGACGCCATAGTTTTTAGAACGTAAATTTTGTTTTACTCAAAAAATGGCATGTTCTCGTATTCCTGAGTATTTTGATATAATGAAATATTTTTTCCCATACTTATTTTGACTGTCCTACTCATTTAAAAGAACATGCGTTCTTTCTGATGGACCCTTGTAGAACAAAAATCAGGACAATTCAATTTATTAAGCGCTTCTTATAACGAACACCTTTATGATAATTGGTGGTGGGGTGGTATTGAAAATTGAAGAGCTAAGGGGGGGGGGTCATCACTGCTTCTGAGAGCGAATAATCTTGTGACGGTTGAAGAGCGAGGAACAAAAATTATCTATTGCGCCGCCTCCCAAATTAATTAATCGCGCCCCAATTTTCTGTGGGCTCTTTGCCGCCGCCCCTCTCTCCTCCCTGAAGCTACCCGGCGCCCACAAGGGGGCGTTGAGTAACACTGGTCTAAATGATCCATTCTTGATGATAGGAATCGTACCAAGAGCGGTCAAATCGGTTATTTTGTACGTCCTAGAGCATCAATTGTTAAAAATCAATAGTCAATAAATACATAACCATTTTATTCAAACCAAGCTTTTTTTTGTTTTGTCGAAGATCTTCCCTAAAAGTTCAGGATCCCCCCGACAAATTTTGATAGGGAACACCTCAGCAGCAAGTTACGTCACTGAATCGATCATTTTACATCAAACGTAGTTAGCAAATGACTTTCCGATGTCCTGTGGGGTTGACCGATTGGATTCCAGTGTTGTAGAAACGACATGTCAGGTGAATGGCACGTGTCGGCATGTACACGTATAATCTGCTGGGACGACCCTGGCGTGGCTTTAGCGTATCTCGCGTACGAACGGTTGACCTATTGGCACAGTTTACAGCCCTGCAGCCACAGACGAGTCCATTCCGTGCAGATGTAGAGTAGGAGGCAGGGACAACGTTGCCGAAGTATTCATTCGTAAAAGATAGTCGTTAATGTTTTCAAATGCCAGGTTTTACTTTGATCATTGATCGAACGAGAGATAAGAATGCGTTACCGACACCTCCGCCTTTGATGAGGTAATAAATATTAACGATTTTGATTAGGAAATAATAATATAAGATCGACAGTGGAGTTGCCCTTCCTTGGCGAGAGATGAGGGCGATAGAACTGGCCTATTTTTGGGTAAAACCTTCCATATACTACCGACTCATGATATTCACAACTCCACTGTCTATTTATTATGTTAATTAGCTGTCTTGATACTGATCATAAAACAATATAATAATGGCCTTGATATTTCTCAATAACATTATCAGATGTTAAAACACATTGCATGGGGGAACTGTAACTTCCTACCCCATCGAAGTCACGCCCGATATAAATACCTAAAACCCAGATTACCACGTTGCCGTGTCAATACCCAAAAGCTCCGACGTTGATTCAGAGATAACCGAGCAACATTAAACTTTAAAGTAACAATCCCTATACATATCCTGCAATGAGATACTCCAGCGATTGCCACGAGAGGAAGCTAGGCGGTCACACAGACCTAGGATAGATAGATATCACGTCGGCCAAAAGCCCCGTCAATATCCAAAACATTCCGACATTTCCCCTCGTCGAGCAACCGAGCAGTAATTACCCTGGAAACCCGTCTCTGTAAGTCTCATAACAGCCTCCAGGATCTGAACGCGTCATACTTCTGTAGATGTTTGACTCTAAGTTAAGTGTAACTTTGTCTCAACTATTGATAAACATATCTCATTGGGCGACTACACACTGAAAAACACGTTGGAAGCTTTTTTTAACTATGGACCAGGACACCCCCCTGAAACCGCTCGTGAGTCAGACACGTCACACCAACAGTAACTACTTGACGTTTAGGCAACACACACAGCTACTACAAGTGTATACTTTATCTGAAGTCACTTGAAACACTGTGAAATACCGGGTGCGTTTTATATATCTATATTTAACACGCTCTGTTGCTGCAAAAATCGCCAAATTTCGCAGCAAATATCCCCCCCCCCCCGTATAAGAGATCAAAGGCAGTTTCACCGGTCCACGTGGAGTAAAGCACGCCTATGCGTGGACATAGCCAATGAGAAAGCGTGTATTTCAGAGCTCGGAACAAGTGCAGGTGGCTACTGAAAATTGAAACAGTTTAGCCAGTGCCGTGTAGCGGTGAATAAACGTGTTTTCTTTAGTCTGTCCGTGTTTTTTCATAGATTTTATTAGTTTGTGTGTTTTTGACTTTTGAATACTCAGTTTATTTGTTGATTTAATTGTTGTGTTGATTGTTCTTGTGTGTCCTAAATATGGCTCTTTGGAGACCTTGGGAAAATGCTCCAAGCCACGAGGAGATGGTTGATGAACCTGTGCAGGCAGAATCTTTCATAAAGATTTAGAGGAACAGACCCAAAGAGTAATCCTAAATATGTATGATTGTCTGAAAAACGAAAATCCAGATTCCTCGCAAAATCAAATTTTAAACAGAATTTGTATCCTGACAAAAATCAGTCGGTCTACCATTTATCGGGTTATAAAAAGGGGAGATGTAGTCAACCATTCCTTCCACAGAAAGCGCATAGGGCAAAAATTAAAAAGAATAGACGTGGGTTTTCAGGAAGATATTCGTCGTATAATATACGGATTTTATAAAGAAAATTTGGTGCCCACGTTGGAAATGATACGGGATAAATTAAAAGATTATCCTGAAGATTTTTATAATTACAAATGCTTAGACTCACTGCACTGTATTGTAAAACTGTGTGGTTTTCAATACAAAAAAATTAGATAAAAGAATGGTGATTATGGAGTCGTCTCGAATCGTTGAATTGCGCCAAGAATTTTTGCACAAAGTTAAAATCTATAGAGAAATCTGATTTACCTGGATGAAACGTGGTATGATACCCATGATGTTGTGCAGTACGGCTGGGTTGACGACAGCAACAAGTGCATTTTAAATGCACCATGCAACCGTGGAAAACGAATCATTATTCTCCATGCTGGCAGTGAAAATGGATTTATACCCAATGCCTTGCTGTTATCTGCCAAAAATATCAAAGAATCATGTTCCGACTATCATGAGGACATGACCTCCGACTTATTTGAAAAGTGGATAGAGCAGCAGTTAATACCAAACATTTCCCCAAATTCAGTGATTATTATGGACAATGCGCCATACCATTCCCGACAGAAAAACAAAATTCCGAATACAGGCACAAAAAAACAAGACATTATTGATTTTATGAAGGATAAGGGAATGGAAATACCACAAAAATCAACCAAAGCCATATTATTGGATCTTATTAAAAGACAAAAATTTGAAAAAGAGTATGTTGTTGACAATCTGCTTCAGCAAAATGGCCATGAAGTATTACGTCTACCTCCCTATTACTGCATTTTTAACCCGATTGAGTTGGTCTGGGCTGCTTTAAAAAAAAAGTAAGAAAACATAATCAGACCCCTCAATTAAGTGAATCGCTATTGGCCACAATAAGAGATGCAGTATCTCATATTGCTGCCACAGACCTATGGAAGCAGTGTTTTAGGCATATTATTGAAAAAGAAAATGAATATTGTGTTTTGCCTCCTGTAAATCCCGTTGTAATTCCTCTACAAGATAACTCTAGCGACAGCTCCGAAGGCGAGGATGATATATAAATACCTATAATGTAAGTCTTTATATACCTACCTGCTATGTAAATATTTGCCTATGTCAAACGTTGGAATTCTGTAATTTTTCCATTTCTTAACTTTCAGTCAACATAAATTAAACTCCCAATATAAGTATTTTTTATTCCAAATCAAAAAAATAAGAAGATAGTAAAATCCATTTATTGTGATATAAAAACATTATTATTATCGTTCTAAATAAATGACCGCACGCCTATGATACGTCATGAAATTACAAAGGACGCGCCTACCAAAGGTTTTTATGCTATTTCAAGTGACTTCAGATACACCATACATTGCGCAATAGCTGTCGTTTTGCATTCACGTATCAAGGGTGGCTATGCCTTTTGGCCCAAAACCACTTGGCACTATCTTGCTTTTTATCAGATCTTATCGTGTGGTTTTCATTTCCATAGGACCCCATTGTCTGGCCGAATCAAACCACATAGATGTTTTAATTTATGTTGATTGTAGGTTCTTCGGCCACCACGGTGGTGTTACAATACAAAGAGAAATACAAACATACGTTTTTTTTATACTCCAGCTACCACGAAGGCTCGGGCTATAGGGGGATACATGGGAAAGGGGGAACGCTACACGGACTCTGGCGAGGGAACACGTGTGCATGCAACATGCACACATTCTGGCTCCGCCTACGAGATCCGCCGGGTGGTACCTCCGCGTTCGACAGTCAAAGACCGTCTACCACCTACGGACAATCACAACATCCAAGAGAAAAATTACTCCTATGACGGGACTCGAACCCGCACAGCGCACGGTGATTGATCAGGACCGAAGAGTCTACTACTGCGGCCACCGCTGCTGCCTGGTGGTCTGATTCACCCCGGCAATGGAGACCTATATGTTAGATATATCTCAAAAAGCCCGTAATGGAAATGGTATAAAACTGCAATTAAAAACACAAAAAGCATTTTGCAAAATCGATATATTTAGAAAATTATGTTGTGAGGTTTCTCCTACAACTGTTTGGATTATTAAATGATGGATGGATGTCGATGTTTATGTCGGTATTGAAACATCGAATGACTTTGATATTTACCAACCGAGTGATTTGGTTATACGTGTTTCTGAAACGTCAATTTACTACAATTTTAGTCATGAATCGCTTTACACCGAAACAACGCGCCGAAATGTACATTGAAAATCGTCGTTCAGTTGTGTTAACGCAACTTGCATATCGTCGAAAATATCGTGGCAAACACTATCCGTCGTTTGGTTTCGAATTTTCTTGAGTACGGGACAGTGGGAGATCGTCAACATACCGTTCATAAGGACCAAGAGGTTCCAATGAATTGGTTGAAGCTGTCAGCATTTTGGCATCAGTGGAACCACGTTGCGGCGCATTTTGAAGGATGATTTGCATTTATTTCCTTATAAGGTGCAGTTAACACAAAACATATTGCCAACTGACCGTCCACGTCACTTGGAATACGTCCAAACAATCGCTCGCATGGTTGATGCTGAACCTGATTTTTGGAAGCAAATTTTGATGACCGACAAGGCCCATTTCACGCTCTCTGGCGAAGTTAATAAGCAAAACTGCCGCATTTGGGCGACGGAAAAGCCACATGAGATCCACGCCGTGGCATGACCAAAAAGTGACTGTTTGGGCCGGCGTTTGCGCCAAAACCATCATTGGGCCATTTTTCTTCAACGAAAACGAAACAGTCGATGGAAATCGATATCGGTGGATGTTGGCTCATTATGTCTGTCCACAAATTCGTGAAAAAGGTCTTGATGGTTACCGATTTCAACAAGACGGTGCGCCATGCCACACTGCAAATGAAACCATCCAGTTTCTGCCACGAAAATACCCTGGACGTCTGATGACTGGCCACCCAGGTCTCCAGATTTGACCCCACCGGACTTATTCTTGTTGGGTTATTTGAAAAGTCAATTGTACGCCAGCAAGCCCCAGACCACTGAAGAACTCTAGTCAAACATTCGTACCGTAATTGCCGCTCGAAAAAGTAATGGAAAACGCAGCAAGATAGGCACATTTTGTTTTGGCCAATAAAAGTGGCCACTTGATAGATGTTGTGTACAAAAACTAGTCCCAATAAATTGGAAAGGACCATATTTAATAAAAATACCCGATATATAGAAATCAGTTTTTAGTTTTCAAATTATTTCATGTTTACATACCGACATAAAAGATGGCGCACCCTGTATTTGTTTATGATGTGTCCGGCTCATGGTTTGTACATAATCGAGGATATTCGCTTTACCCGGGGTATTCGCTTTGGCCATATGCATTAAAGTTTTTTTTAGGTCATCCTCCTTTTGATCGTCTGTTGACTGTTGATCTGCTACATTTGATGATCTTTCCACTGATATAATAGGCAATTCGCATCATCAGCATTAAATCCAATTGCATTAAATACAACCACGCACATGCACGGTGCACTAGTTACAGTAGAAACGAACTTGATACGACGATGCACCAACAAAATGCTTTGCCTGGTCAGCGTTTTTCCTCACCGGGCTTACATACACGTACATACCAGAACCATCTGTGCATTACGCTGCCGAACACATCGTGTGTGACGTGGATAACGAATTGCCAGAATCTATTACAGCGCGAATAGAAATCGGGCTGAGTCACGCGGAATTTTATGACGATTCGTAACTATACAGGGTAATTTATAACTTCGGGACAATATTTCTGGGGTAGAAAGTAGGTCTCAAAATAACACGAAAAAAGTTCATAACACTAAGTTCCTAAAATGTCCCTTCATCGAAAGTTTTAATTTCAGAATCGAAAAAACTATATCTTCAAAGTAATGGTACCCATTCACGTACAGGCGGACTGCAGGCAATGGACTGAAATTTGACCTGCAGTCGTGGCCTGCGATATAGACCATACACGTTCAGTTGTATACAAACGATGCGGCCTGCAGGCCATCGCCTGACAGTCCTAGAACTGCAGGTCGCCTCATTATTTGCCATACATCCACAGTCCGTCGCAAAAGTTTCGCAGTTCTTGCTTGTAGTGTGTAGACAAAAGAACAATAAAGCAGTGGTAAAATGTTAAGAAAAAAGAAACTTATTTTGTTACTTTTGATTTTGCTATTAACTAATGAACGCGGAAAAAATGGCAAACGTTTTTGGGTGAAGGAATGGTTAAGAGATCGTGAAAATTTATCTCATATGAAACTCCTGAAGCGATTGAAAGATTCCAGCAGCGAAGATTTTAAAAATTATCTTAGGATGGACGAGGCTTCTTTCAGAAAATTATTAACTTTAGTTAAACCCCACATAAAACGACAGAATACAGTAATGAGAAAAGCCATTAGTGCTGAAGAAAGGTTAATAGTGACTTTGCGGTATCTGGCAACTGGACGTACATTTGAGGATTTGAAATTTTCTGCCATTATTTCTCCCCAAGCACTAGGAAAAATTATACCAGAAACCTGCGAATGGATTTACAAGGCGTTGAAAAAGGAATATATGAAGGTAAGTTCATAAAATTTTGGAATACAGTGCATAATATTTTAGAAAGAAATGGAATAGTTGAAGGAGATTGAAAGCCAAAATTTTTAGAAGCGTACATTTATAAAAGTACCTAGGTATTTATTTTTTAACCTAAATACCTCGCTAATATTCTTATTAAAAATTATGTATTTTATGCTTGCATTCCAAAATTTTCGCTTTTGTCGTAATTTGAAGTAATTTTTTATGTTTTAGTAAAATTTCAAAATAATATTTCAACTACGTATTTTATTGAAAAATGTATCCTTACATAAAAACTTAAAGGTGAACAACTTGTGTTATAGAAACGAATTTTAAATAAACTTTTGATTTCTATTGTCAAAAACATAGACAATAGGTAATAATGAACAAGTCGACAAGTAAAAACAAAACTTTAAGTATGTAGTCATTGAAGTTTCGTAAATTCATCGATTAAAAACCAGCAATTCAGTTAAAGATCCTTTAAGTTTCGACGTGTTGCCGCTTTCCTCCATTGTTTCAGGGGTAGTTTTATCAAGAGGTCTTATATAGTTTATATTTATGTCGAGGTTTTCTCCTTCTGCATTTGTGTACTGTGTTTCAGAAATAGTTGCTGAGGGTCGGGAAAGAGTGACATTTTGTTGCTGATTGTAAGTTGATGTGTGTTGCGAAGAAGTGAAAGTTTGTTGTTGCTGATTTGTTAATATGGGTTGGAAAGGAGAAGGAGTTAAAGGTTGTGGCTGTTGATTGTATTGAAGTTGCATTGGCAACATAGTATTATAATGAGATGAAACGCTATGTGCCGAATTTATACATATATGAGATTCCTCGCATAATTTCTTTTGAACACCAAGGAAGAGAAGACGGTGAAGTAATAATTCAGCATACATTTTCTGGTCGCTGTCCATTCGGCGCAGTTTATGGGCCACATTTTCTCCAATACTGTCACATTCATCATTTTCTCTGTCCAACTTAGCGCAAATCCTTTGGATACTTTCTTCCTGTCCATACTTCTTTCTTTTTGCACTATTAGAAGATCTGGAAGTTGATGGACGTGAATAGGTTGATGACTGATGCGGTGTTTGTGGTGGTGATAGCTGATATATTTCAGACGGTGCTTGCAACGCATCTTCAGTAAGCGGTGAAAATTGAGTATCATGCTGGGTGACATCTTCCTGAAAGTACAAAATACAAAATGTATATTATAATTTTTTTTACAGTTTCCAAAAACATCAGAGGAGTGGCAAGAAATAGCTTATAATATTGAAACCAGATGGAACTTTCCTAATTGTGGAGGATCTATTGATGGTAAACATCTGCGAATTGTTAAACCAGCCAACAGCGGGTCATATTTTTTTAACTACAAAGACTATCACAGTATAGTTCTCATGGCCCTTGTTAATGCTGATTACGAATTCATATATGTTAATGTAGGCTGTAATGGGCGAGTTTCTGATGGAGGGGTCTTAGAATATACAAAATTTTACGATAAACTTATAGAAAAAAAGCTAAATTTGCCTTCTAATGACGTAACAAAGCATAATTTAAATTTCGTTTTTGTGGCAGATGATGCGTTTGCATTACATGAAAATATTTTAAAACCTTTCCCGGGAAACAATTTAACAAAAGAAGAATCTATTTTCAATTATAGACTTAGCCGTGTGCGCCGCACGGTTGAGAACGCGTTCGGTATATTAGCTAATCGCTTTCGAGTATTCCATACTCCAATTAATATGCAACCTGACAAAATTGACAAAATTGTACTAGCAGCTTGCGCGTTGCATAATTTTTTGAGACGTTCTAAAACTTCATATATAACGAGAAATGATGTTGACACCGAAATTATTGACACAGGGGATATAATAAGGGGAGACTGGAGAGCAGAAAGACCATTAGATAATTTACAACCAGGATATGGTCGTAATGCTTCACGTGAAGCCAAAGAAAATAGAGTGAATTATAAAAATTTCTTTAATACTGTTGGAAAAGTTTCCTGGCAAGAAAATTTTATTTAATCAATGTACCTATTATAATATGTATCTTACTTGATAATTTTGTAGAATTAAAGAATTTATTTTAGACAAGAAATAAAAAGATTTTATTTGATTTTTTTATTTGCAAAAAATTTCCTTACCTCATTATTGGCATCGTCACCCTCCGACTCATCATCATTTGAAACTGACATCCTAGGTTCTTCCTGCGAAGCCGTAAAAAGCAGTAATTTATAATACCAAAGAGTTGGCTCATACAGCTCTTCTGTAGATGATCCACTTCTTTTTGATTTTAGAACTTTTTTGTGCTCCTTTCGAAAGGCACTTCTAATATTATTAATTTTCTTTTTTACCATATCCATCGAAGCATTTTTGTCTACGGTTTTGCAATAACTTATAAGTTTCTCATACGCCTTTGCCTTTTCTTTTCGATTTGAATACTGTTTTGACTTAATATTCCATAAACTTGGTAACTGTCGATAAATATCAATAAAACCAGTAACAAACGATGGCTGATTTAACGTCACATCAGACATTTTTTACCAAAACTGTGTACACAATTTTTAAATACAATGAAAGTCGCTATCGTACGACCCGGACTGACGATTAACCACCACACACGTACACACTTTGTGCAATCTTTGTAAACTGCAGGCACAGACCTGCCGGCCACCTGTACGTGTATGCTGAAATTTGGACTGACGGCCAGATCGTTCACAGTTCGGGACTGCAGTCCGCCTGTACGTGAATGGGTACCATAACGCTTTAGTCAATACATACGGTGGTCGTACTCTTAGACACCAGTGGCGTAGAAATTTGGAATTTGTTTCACGCCTACAGAAGAAGAAAGGACCCCACTGATTTTTTT